AAAAGCAATAGAGGCACACCAAATGAATATATGTATCCAGTATAAAAGCAATAGAGGCACACCAAATGAGTATATGTATCCAGTATAAAAGCAATAGAGGCACACCAAATGAGTATATGTATCCAGTATAAAAGCAATAGAGGCACACCAAATGAGTATATGTATCCAGTATAAAAGCAATAGAGGCACACCAAATGAGTATATGTATCCAGTATAAAAGCAATAGAGGCACACCAAATGAATATATGTATCCAGTATAAAAGCAATAGAGGCACACCAAATGAATATATGTATCCAGTATAAAAGCAATAGAGGCACACCAAATGAATATATGTATCCAGTATAAAAGCAATAGAGGCACACCAAATGAATATATGTATCCAGTATAAAAGCAATAGAGTTAACGGCTTTCAAGAAGAAGCTATTCGCAGGACCACAACAGTAATCACCTACATGTGTATATCGTCTGTCATTTTTTATGACAGTGGAGCTAAAAAGGTAAAAGATTGTGGTAATAATAAACTATAATAATACACATGAACATACAGATGACCAGTAAATGGAGTAAATATGTTCTTTTTTTTTCATTATTCAGGTTATTAGAAACAAGTACATGCAGATAATTGTTTTTTACAGCAAACATTTTTCTCTCAGAATTGCAATACAAAATATTTTGCATACGGTAATTACGAGGATAATGCAAAGTATGCACAAAGACAGTACAGTTGGAGTATCGTTCCATATTTGGAATTCGCGTTTCTTAATATGGTAGGATGAAAATACCCAGTGCAATACTGCAAAGTTACGGCACGCTGTAACTTATGGCGTTATGGCAACAGATGTATAATAGTAAATAATTTGCACATGAATTTTGTACATATCAATAACCTCTATTGTTCTTGAAAATTTAAGCATGGTTACTGAGTGAGCAAGTATGATAAATTGCTGTCCTTAGGTTGACTAATAGTTATACAGTTTTATGAAAGTGAGTCAGAACACGTTTTATAGCCCACATTTTAGCTTAGGATGAAAAACTTCACAAATACTGTAGGTACTGTCATCTTTATATTTTTTAGAATATGGTTCACAATACATTTTTATCTTGAGTAGCAATAACATTTTCTAACGGATCATATCGTGATTCAGGTAAGTTATATCATATTTATTTTAAGAATTTGATCTATGACAATTTTTCATGAAACCATCTTAATCAACCTTAAGATGCCTGAATATCAAATGTGCCAACTTTTAAAACATGTCTCAGGATTTACATTTATTGGTCTGATAATCCAATGATTTCATATTCATTTATTGGTTCATCAAGCAAACTATACATTTTATCAGTGATTTTTTCAAACAAGGAAATAGGGGCGCAGCGCCCTCATGCCATGGCCATGCGTCCCCTTACCCTGGAAAGCAGATCCTCTGGCAACCATAAAATTCTGATTGACCAGGAATAACAAGTGGCCACAGTCTTCAACTGTGACCTTTCTGATAGTAATTTTGGCCCCAAGGAAGCCATAGAATGCTCCATTTTAACTTAGAATTATCAAAAACTCCACACATTCTCTCTCAATTTCTTTGATCCATTCATATAAATGGTCATACATGTATTAAATGAAAATGTACATGTACCGGTATGTACTGTCTTAAACAAAAGGTCAGTCACTGTGGTCATTCTGTTTCTTTCCAATTAAATCCAGTTCTCTTCCTTCCTAATGAAGCCAGTTATGAAGCCTGAGTTTCATAACAAAATTTATATGTTTTGAATTTCCTGTTTCAAAACTGTATTTTCTCAAAATGAATTTATGTCACACTGCTCATATTTAGCCAAATAACACACCCTTATGAAAGTGGTTGTAATGATCTAGAGATGCGCTCAGCAAAACAGCTGACAATGCTCCTTTATTGAAAGACAAAACAAAACAATATGGTGGCAATTGTAACAGTCCCATTATTTACAGTATAATGAAGTTAGCCATGTGTTGGTCACTGGGATGATTCAATACATGTAATTCCAAGTTATTGCATCCTTAGAAATTGCTATTGTTACAATAGTATTTATTCCAAATGATGCCTCTAAGCATGTGATTAATTATTCATCAAGACATTCAATTGGAAAAACAAAATGAGTAAACAATAAATAAAACAGCAACAGACGTATTTATAACTGTTGTGATTCACAACAAATCGCCAAAAAGTCACAGCAAAGTAACTCAGTTGGGGATGATATTGTATGTACATGTTGTCCTCATTTGACCTGTTTGACATACTGAACTACATTGTATGATTACCTCAGTTCTATTGTTAGCAAGATTTCATAATCCACAACAAACACTTTACAACATTCATGAACATACTAGTATTCAGCAATACCACTAATAAGTTGGTGTATCATTTTACATATTTTTATGTAATTTTGTTAATTTTTCATTGGCTTCAGGTTTTGATCAAAGTTTTTATAAAAAACTATGTGAAAAGTGACAAAAGTAGATTTTGGTCTTAAAAGGAGATGTATTACTATAGTCTTCATGGTTACCATACGTAACAAGTACGTTTGAACTTTTGCAAAACGTTCGAAATTTGGTTGGAAATTGCTTCTGTTATTTCAATTGAAAATTCAACATATTCTCTAAATGATAGAGATTACTTTATGAGCTGTTTCATCGGCAAGTCAAATTAATATTAGTTATTGCTAATTAATCTTTTTAACTGACTATGCATCAGAATAGCTAAGCAAGAGTCTACATGCACCATCTGTGTTGAGCAGGCTGCAAATTATTTGAACAATATTATAGTGTTTACTCTATAGTGATGTATTTGACTGCTGATGGAAAGCTGGATATTAGGCAACATAGGTATCAGTCATCAATCGATAAACTGAAATGATTCACAGTCAATTTATCCCAATACATTCGTCCAATGCATTTTCATTCTATCACAATTGTGTTCCATTGCCTTATGGCACCATAATGCAAGTATAATGCATGAAAATATACTTGAATGACATGTTAGAAACATGTGTGCCACATTAATCGGCACAACAATCCACAAAAGGCATGTGGTCGTGTTTTTATTTGGATTCAACATAGTATTTATTATAACATGTATTTCGGCCTTATTTACTTGCTTTACTGTCTATGTTATGTTAGCAGCTACTATGAGTTTACAAGCCTTGTAACGCATATTCATACTCCATTTTCGTCGCTCAATATTTTTCTGGTAAAACCTCTTGCGAGAGTAGAACAACTACATGTACCGTAGTATACATAGCATATTAGAAGGTATTGCTATAGCAATCAATCATTTCCCAGTCCAGGGTAATGGCGTCGACCTGTGAGATGAATCAACTTTGAACAAATCAAATAAGGATGAATATAATTTAGAACGAATTGACCCAGGAAACCACACAAACACTTAACTCTATTACTGTAACCATGACAACATGCATTTTACTATATTTTTTTTTACATTATTATAAAGTTGGTGACTATAGATGAGTAAAGACATTTTTTAGGAACTATTTGAGTAGTCTATATCATTATTTTTGATTATCATTCTTTTATAGCGTGGTACATCACAGATAATATATGTCCTTTATTTAATTAATTCAATGGAATTTTCACATGCTAACATTTATGTTGCATACCCTGGTATTAAGCAACCTTATAAATTTATTATATGACTCATCAAATTTCACCAACAAATATCTAAACCATTCATGGTTGTCATTACCTAATTTAATTCGGCAGAGAAATTACAAATCTATCAGAAATTAGAATTTTATGTAAAGGTCATGTCATGTTTATATTGGTGTAATGTGAAGATGTATTATTAATTTCACAATATAAATACAGTTCATGGCATTTATGAGTGCACTGACAACGTTTCAACATCCCACAGACTGGTGAATGCAACATAAATATTACGTCATTTAGCAGTGCTACTTACTAAGTACAGCGAAAACGGGAAACAGAGCAGAAATAGCCACAAGTACAGATGAAATGTGTTGCAGAAGATATCTTGGTGAGGATCGAAGAACCAGCCTCCGGTCACCGAAGCCCAAAGTCCCTGTCGCAGCACTTCTAAAGTATGTGAACCCATAATGTCTATTTGCGGTAATTTAAGTCGAAAAGTGTTACGTATATCACGTTATACGGGTAATCGTTCACATCGATCACCTCTTTTCCCATTACGATCGCGGTTCTCCACTTCCGCCATTTGTATTTTTGGGTACGAACTTGGAAATACCCGTCAGGCTTTGCGAATGGGCAATGGTCGGTGAATGGGGTAAAATTAATGGTGATCATAAAAATTAACTTTGTTGAACAGTATGTTGAAAGTTGGTCTCTCACAGTCTGACTATACGTATGATATTGCACAAAAACAGGAAAAGTCGTTGAAAAGGGTGTAGAACGTGCTTTTTCCACGAGTTTTATCCGTCACATGACCATATTGGCCAATCAGTGCTCATTTATTCTGACGCCCTGTTTGGCAGGTCAAAGTACATACAATGTAAGATGGCGGACACACTCGTCGTCGCTATCAAAATCGAGGAGATATGGGTTTTTTACTAGACTCTACGATACTACCAGAAGATCACCGAGCTCATAGGATACAAAGGAATGTCTTCATAAAATTGTAATGTATCTCAAATTGTTCCGAGTCGATAGGACGTTCACCCAGGTAATTCCTTCGGACGACGTGAAAAAGTGTCTATCCCCGCTTGACCAACTTTGCAAGCAGTGTATGATAGATTGTCAATATACACTCAGAAGCAGTGGCTTCCTGTGTGGCGCCAATCTTAGCCTATTGAAACGCGTTTTCTAATGCCCTGCTCTCTGCCCAATGGATCACCGTAATCGCAGTGCCAACATGCTGAGCCAATTTTGGACAGCGATGTTCGACTTCGAGGCAGGGGCGGAAGACGAGCTGAGTTTTAGACAAGGAGACCTTATCGAGGTCCTTTCTCGGGATTATAAAATATCTGGCGATGATGGTTGGTGGACTGGCAAGCTGAAAGAAAAGATCGGTGTATTTCCTAGTAACTATGTATATCATCACGTCAGACAAACCCTTAATACTGTGGGGAATAAGGGCTTCGGAAATAATAGAAGGGATATACACATACCTTTTGAAATGAATTTTAATGAATTAATTCTAAGTGAAGTTATTGGTGCAGGGGGGTTTGGAAAAGTATACCGCGGGATTTGGAGAGATGAAGAAGTTGCTGTCAAAGCTGCTCGACATGACCCTGACGAGGATATAAGTGTAACGATGGAAAGTGTTCGCCAAGAAGCTAAATTATTTTGTATACTTTCGCATCCAAATATTATACACCTGAAGGGTGTATGTTTGAAAGAACCAAATCTTTGTCTTGTACTTGAATATGCCCGAGGTGGCGCATTGAACAGAGTACTATACGGTCGGCATATACCGCCAGATATTCTTGTTGACTGGGCGTTACAGATATGCAGAGGAATGAATTATCTTCACTGCGAAGCACCAGTGCCTCTCATTCACAGGGATCTTAAATCTAGTAATGGTAGGTATTGTTAATTCATAAAAAATAAAAAATCATGGTAAAATAAATTCTAGTGCATACCTTTGATTCAAGCTAGCAACTGTAGGATGAATTTGTTGGTAGTTAGATGGCCTACATATCTGAGATATAGGACAAACACCTGTGGCATCTTGTATACAGTATTGCTTTGAAAATGGCAGCCATTGTTTGTAGTCCCATGACCTCTATAATGGGAAGAATGCAACTGAACAGTGGAAACCAACACTTATGTGGTCACACCAGGTTTTTGAAAGTTAGTTGGTTGTGAATAAAATTTTGATATTATATGCCTATATACAAATATTGGTATATTTTACTTGCTTGCTCATTTCATTCTATACTGTATCTATCCTACTAAAAATCCAAATTTCCTTCCCAAGGTTAAACAATGATTCATCTAAAAAATACCTGTCCTATTTAGAGGTTATTGATAGCTAAATACTGAGATCATAACATACACAAGTAGTATGTGATTAGAAGTGATGTACATGCATTTCAGCATGGATTTCTAGAAAACTTTCTATATTGCTTTCAAATCTCATTAAAATGCTGATAAGTATGTGCTGTTTTTATGATTAATGATAGAGAATTGTAACATCTTTAGATACTCATAAACTATGATGATTGTTCAGCAGATGACCTTGTTCCATTGTAATCTTTAGTGTAGGGACACCTCAGTGTAACAACACTAAAAGAATATTCTCTATCAGAATGTTACTTTATTGAGTACACTAGTGTTATGCAAATTATTAATGTCATTTGCCTATCATATTTATGCAAATGTGTTCACCTCATCTAGTACTAAAAGAATACAAGAAAGTTTTATTTCACATATTTAGACATACATGCAAGTACTTTCATTTTAAACTCTGAAGTTCTTTAAGATATATTCAGTGAAACTTTTCTAAACTGATCTCCAATAGGATTAAGAAACTGTTCGGTTTTTAAACAGGTCAATACTGTTGTCTGCTTGATTTGCTGTTCAGCTATGCTCTTAAATTGAACAATAAATAAATATAAAATATGAGTATGTCACCCATTATCTGGAAAATAACCCATCATTTTAGAATGAATATATAAATGGCCCAGTGTTCTCCCTGTGGCTAATTTGCATAACAATAGACTAACCTATATTAATTACCTCTGTTATATTCATTATTAGGATTATTAAGCTTTAAGCTCTTATTATATAATATTAGTAGGGAGAACCCTGAATGCATACTGATAGGAATTGCCAATTCTGGCACAAAATACTTTTACCTGTATTCTCATAATTGGATCTACCTAAAACATAATTGATCCTATTTTGTTATATTGTCTCGTCACAGACAATTAGTGTCAAGGCTGAAGTACATGTTGTTTATATATTTACTATGATCCGTTAAGGCAAGTGATTTACTATACAGTTGTCCTAATGGCAATTTTATTTGTCATGAGTTACCATGAATGTAATAACTTTTTGATAAAACTGAATACTGTAGAATACTTTATTTTTGCTATTTTCGCTGAAGGGGTGATTCCGTGAAAATAAAATGCAGCGAATGTACTTTTTTTCCTATATTTCACATTAAACTCGTCAAAAATCAGTGAAAATAAATTACAAGCAAAACGCCCAATAAGCCTTTTCAGCGAAAATTAATTCCAGCGAAAATAAAGTATTCCACAGTATTCTATATTACTGTAATTATAATACTGGTCATTATTTGTGCCACCATACTTCTGTTAACTGCTTTTCTCGTTGTAGCATAGTAAACATTCCATGTGCACTATTTGCTTGCTTGTATTGACTTGTTCCAACAATACTATTGTTGATGGTTTCTTTTCAAGGTTCCATGTACCCTTGATTGTGTTCTTGATGTCCTTTTAATTGTACTTTTATTTTTGCATATATTTCAGTTCTACTTAGTGAAAAAATAGACAATAATGAACTTACAAATAAAACATTGAAGATCACAGACTTTGGTCTTGCCAGGGAATTGTACAAGACAACTCGTATGAGTGCTGCAGGGACATATGCTTGGATGGCTCCTGAGGTCATTAAGACGTCTATTTTCTCAAGAGCTAGTGATGTGTGGAGGTAAGGTCGTTCATTGTGAATGCAGGGTCACATTGTACTCTATACATTGACTGTTGATATAACCATAAACTCTTTAGCTTTGTGCATGTATATATATACATTTACATCATTGTACATGCAAGCGTAAGATGCAGACAAAAAAGTTTCTGGTCAAATTTTCTAAAATTGATGCGCCTCCTAAATTTTGCCACCTAAATATTAGTTAAACATTTTTCACATTTTCCATAACTTACATGTCTCTGTCAAAATTTGTGAAAAGTATGAACACAATTCTGCAGGTTTATTTTGTGGTCTTTAAAGGATTAAAATTGTGCTTTTGTTTTTTCATAAAATGTTTGATTTGTGCCTAAAAAAAGCTAATTCTCAAAGAATGATTACCAGCACCTATAATCTAAATGCTATGATCTGTTTATCTTGTAGTTTTGGTGTGCTATTATGGGAATTACTTACTGGTCAATTACCATACAAGGGTATTGATGGCTTAGCAGTAGCATATGGTGTAGCTGTCAATAAACTCACACTGCCGATACCCTCTACATGCCCTTCACCATTCTCAAGAATCATGGAGGGTGAGTACTTTGAAAATTTGGTACTTCTGATACTGTATTTGCTCTATTTTATCAATATTTTGATGATACAACCAATGCAATTTTTAGCTTACCATATTTGTCCGACTGCATTTTTTATGCCGAGATCAATTCCATCAGTTCATACTTCAACATCGATAATTCACTTCCGCATTGCATTACCAGAATGCTTTCAAGAGAATTGTGTTGGTACAACACATCATTTTGATTGGTTAATAAAAAACTTCACCTGTCAGGTCAGAGATTTTAATCAGAGTACTAATGTACCTGTACCAAATTTTATTGAATTGTGTTTCATGAGATGTCAGTGGAACAGCGAAAATTAGGCTATTATAATGCAAATTAGGTAATTGATATGCATGAATTTTAACTAAAAACTAATCTTTTCTGCACATTATCTGTGTAGGAAGTGAAATTCTTATGATATAGTCATGTCATACATATACATTTTGATAATTTGCTCATCTTATATTTAGCAATCATTTTTAAAGTGCTGATAGTTAACTGAATGAGCATGTTGGTAAACAAACATACTACGAGAACCAGTTGTACATTCCTTCATGGTTGAATAGAATATTTCAAAGAAGGGAGTAGTCAGTATGCAAATAAGACATTGATGTTTTCTTGAATCTCTATTACCGTACTTCACATACCATAAGCCCAGGGGCCTGAACATGTTCATTTAAGTACACATATTTTATTACAATATGATAAACATACATTTGTACTGTCTGAATTTACGGTTTTAAAATGGGTAGAATCTGTGGGGAAACGGTCAAATACAAAATACAAGATCTATATCATTATCTTCGTTGTGGAATAGTTTCGATCATACGAACTCTCAATGAAATTTTCGCCATGATGTTTTTAGCTCCGCGGAGCTTATAGTATTACAGATTGTCGGTTGTCGTCGTCGTCAACTTTTTTCTTGTTGAAAATCGCAAGTCCAATTGCTTTGAAATTACATATCTAGGTACTACTAGTGGACTTCTCTCAGATTTGTTCATTTCATGATGATATCTTTAATTCTCTAATTTTCATGAATATTTTTGTAATTTTTAGTAAAAAGTGATATTTTCAACTTGTTGAAAACCGCAAGTCCAATTGCTTTTGAAATTACATATCTAGGTACTACTAGTGGACCTCTCTCAGATTTGTTCATTTCATGATGATATCTTTAATTCAATAATTTTAGTGAATATTTTTGTAATTTTTGGTAAAAAGTGGTATTTTCGACTTCTTATTGAAAACCACAAGTCCAGTTGCTTTAATACTATACATTTTGTACATTTTTTAATATCTTCAGTTCTTTAATTGTAATGTGCATTGCTAACAGCGGAGCTATTTCAGCCGAGAGGCTGCTTGTTAGTTTTTGACTCCTGTGTGCGAAGCACAAAAGGGAGTCTTTGCAGTTACCCTGTCTGTATGTCTGTATGTCTGTATGTATGTATGTATGTATGTATGTCACTTTTTTTGTTCCACCGTTATCTCAAGAACCACTAATCAAATTTTGGTGAAACTTGGTACATAGATGCTCTGGGATAATGCGCAGACTTGATTAGTTTTGGTAAAAATCTATGAATATTAATTATCTAATTTGAATGATAATTAACTGATTTCAAGCTGTTCCATGACTGTTCCACTGATATTTG